ATCTTCCACTGCCTCCCAGAGGTGGGTCAAATTATGTTGGTAGCTTCTGTGACACTCTCCAACCATCTCATCCTCTGTCGACCCCTTCTCCTCTTGCCTTCACACTTTCCTAACACCAGGGTTTTTCCAGGGAGTCTTCTCTTCTCATGAGATGGCCAAAGTATTGGAGTCTCAGCATCAGGATCTGTCCTTCCAGTGAGCACTTGGGTTGATTTCTTTAAGATTGGATAGGTTTGTTCTCCTTGCAGTCCAGGGGACTCTCAAGAGCCTCCTCCAGCACCACAACTCAAAAGCATCAATTCTTCGGCAGCTTTCCATCTCTCTCTTCCATACATCACTACAGGAAAAACTATAGCTTTGACTATGTAGACCTTTGTCAGCAAGCTGGTATCCCTGCTTTTTAGGATGCTATCTAGGTTTGTCATCGCTTTCCTCCCAAGAAGCAGGCGTCTTTTAATTTCGTGGCTGCTGTCACCTTTTGTAGTGATCATGGAGCCCAGGAAAGTAAAATCTGTCACTGCCTCTATATCTTCCTTTTCTATTTGCCAGGAGGTGATGGGACCAGTGGCCATGATAAAAACCATAAATATATGAATATTAAAAGTATTATGCAGATGTTTTGTAGGAAATGGGGAATGAATGATTCATGTTGTCTGCAGCTTACTTACAGTGAGGTAAGAGGAAAGGACATTGGATAGTACTGAATTTTTTGTGTTTCCTTTTCTTCTTCCAGCCTGAGCCTCCTTAGTCAGTGTATCATCAGATCTTAGAAGTGTTCCTGGGTTAGTCCATAATAAGTCATCAGCGATGCAAGGTTGAATTCTGGATATCCTTGGTGATATGATTAGTCTTATCAAGGGATATATATGGGCCTGTGGTTTTCAGTAGTATTTCCTGCTGGTGACCATAGTATCTTTTCCACCACAAGGGAGAAAGGGAGGGGCTCTGAACTTTAGTAATTTCTGTTGGTGAATTCTAAGGTGAGATCCTGCTCTACTGTGACATTTGGCTGATACTGCTCTGTGTACAGTGGTGCCCCACATGACAAAAATAATCCATTCCAGGAAAATCACTGTACAGCGAAATCATCATCATGCAAAAAAAAACCACTGGAATGCGTTCCAGTGGGGAAATACCTCATCGTCCAGCGATTGCCCATAAAGAACCGCCGATTAGCTGTTTAAAATCGCTGTCTTCTGAAGCATGGGTGCGGAAAACAGCCATTTTGTGAGGGGAAGTCAGCCATTTTGCGAAGGGAAGCCATTTTGCGGAGCTGGAAAAACATCATTTTGCAAACAAACGGTTCGCAAAGCAGGGACCTAATCAATGTAAAGGGAAAAAACCCCGTAGGAACCATTTTGCAATCACAAAAAAGTCATCGTCAAGCGATTCCATCGTCATGTGGGGTTGTCATCATGTGGGGCACCACTGGGCAAAGAAATTTAAGCTTACTTTCCATAAAATGGCCATTATTATTGGTTGAGTTTTACTTATCTGGTTGAGTTTTACTTATCTGAATTTCCCACCTTCCCCCTGCCTTCTTGTGTTTGTAACTGGAAGCTCCAGCCGCAAGTCGAAGCAAAATTTTGTGGCCGGAGCTGGTCGTAACTCATAATGGTCGTAAGTAGAGACGGTCGTAAGTCGAGGAACCACTGCATGAGATTTCTAAGTCTATGTAGTTACCTTGCCCAAGAATGGAATATTTGAAATTACAATATTCCAACAGAATTGATTTGGAAAAGGATCCCCACCCCCATAAAGGTTGCATAATTGCCTCTTTTAGATAGATTGGAACACTGCTTTGTTCTAAGAAGGCAATCACTTATCCACCCTTGACTCCTTAATGAGCCAGGAAGGGCAAGGATCCAGAATGCATGTGGTGGATTTCACTTTTCCAAAGTTCCTGCTGACATCCTTGGACTGCACGAACAATAAATTACCCATTATCACAGGACAGTCAGGGCTCAAAGTTATATCCAGAATGGCTGCATCAACTACAGCATCCAAGCCAGAGCAGATCCAAGTGAAGGGTTGAGCAAATTTTTCATAACATGCTGATGAGTGGTGTGGCATATGCCTATCTATTCCACTTTGCCTGACCAATTAACTTTGGGATTGGTTCATTCCTTGCCATATATAATGCATAACAATTAACCTTATAAATGTAGACAATGACATAACAGACTCCCTCAGCCGAGCAGTTGTTCAGTGCTTAAGTGGAAATGCCAACATTTATTTTTCCCAGACTTTCTACAGAGATGGGATTCTCCTGTTATAGACAAATTTGCTTCAGCTGAGAACAAGAAATGTCCCTGGATTTGCAACAAGGCATGGATCAGTACTGGTTCTAAAGATGATTCCTTTCTAGTACATTGGGATCATTTGCTCATCTCCCATTTTCCTTCATTCCTTGGATCATCACCAGGACGAGGGAGGAAGCTCTAAATATCATTCAGGTTGCACTCTACTAGGCCCACCACTCATGATTTATGGCTCTGTTCCCACGTGTCCTGCCATCAGTTTGATCACATTCCAGTGAGGCCAGATCTTCTGACTCAATAGAATGGACTGGTTGGGTGAAGAATTAGAATTCAGGACTCTCCCTAAGAGCTTGGAAGATCTATCTATGATCCCTTTTACTCTGGAAGTTGCAGTCGTTCTTTGGACCTCCAGACAGCCCTCTACAATTTCCATGTATGAGAAACAGTGGGTGGTTTCCTAGATGTTTGCAAGCAAGAAGTGTTTCTTCCTTTGGAATTCACAAGCTCTTGCTTTTTTTGTTGTGTGTGGAAGATCTCAGGCTTACATTCTCTTCGATTCCCAGGGTTTATTTGATTGCAATTTTGTGTCATTGATCTCATTTTGAATGCTTGCCTCCCATTTTCTACAGTGCAAATGGATGGAAGTTTCTTGGAAAACTTAATAACTCCTATCTTGAGGTTGAGCCTTGTATACCCCATTGGTCTCTGTCTGATGTCCTTTCCCAAGTCATGAGAAAACCATTTGAAACTAAGGACGACCCTTGTGACCTCCATCTTTGCCTTTGTGCCCTTTGTGTTGATTTTCACTGTCTTGTTCTTCCCAGAGAAAAGGAAAAGGTTTGACTCAGTATCATCTTTCTTCTAGAGTGGTACCCTCTTTCTACGTGAATCAGAGTGCTTCCTCTTTTTTAAGTGCACCCTGAAGATATGGTGGTTTGTAAGGCACAGATGTTATTCTGGCATTCCCCTTGTTTGTTTCTGTGTGATGTAGGATGTTGCAAATTTTCTTCAGTTTTACTGTGCTTGGTTTTAGCAGAAGATTCATCTACTTTTGTCTTCTCCCTTCTAGAGTTACTCCACAAGGTCAGTGGCTACATTGGCCCTCTGAGCAATCCTCTGCTGGAAATCTGTAGGGTAGCTACCATGTTTCCCTGAAATAAGACAGAATCTTATACTGTGGTGCCTCGCTTAGTGATTGCTTCGTTTAACGATGAAATCGCTTAGCGATGACTTTTTCGGAGCGTTTTTACGCTTCGTTTAACGATGGTCCCTATGGGCGATTTTTGCTTAGCGATGGTTGAGACCATGCTTCGCATAGTGATCAAATTTTGGGTCCCTTGTTTCGCTTAACAATGGTTTAAACAGCCTCATGTTTGCTGTTTTTTAAATGTTTTTCTGTTATTTATAAAGTTAAAGTTTACTGTTTAAAATGTTTGAAATCATAAAGTGCACTTAATAAAACTTTTGTTAACCAAATTTGACTTTGTTCTGACTCTTTTTTAATTTGTTGTTGTATTTTTCCCCCCATTGAGATGCATTGAATAGGTTTCAATGCATTTCAATTGGGGAACTGCGTTTCGCTTAGTGATGTTTCCTATGGCGATTTTTGCTTAAGGACGGCAATTCGTTTCTATTGGAATGGATTATCCGGTTTTCAGTGCATTTCAGTGGATAACCGCATTTCGCTTAGTGATGATCGCTTAGCAGCGATTTTTTTGGAACCAATTAACATCGTTAAGCGAGGCGCCACTGTATTAATTTTTGCTCTTTAAAATGCATTAGGGCTTATTTTCAGGGGATATTTTATTTTTTCATATACAACAATCTACATTTATTCAAATACAGTCGTGTCATCATCTTCTGGTTGCTGCATAATGATGGAGGGCGGGGTTTCACTTAACTGAGGCTTATTTTAGGGGTAGGGCTTATACTACAAGCATCCTGAAAAATCATAGTATGGCTTATTTTCAGGTTAGGTTTTATTTTCAGGGATACAGGGTATATGGTCCTAGCTGTCAGCATGTGCAAGGACTTTTGTTGATGCATCTTTCAGCAGAATAGTTCTGTCTTCTGTCCTCACTTAACATGCTGATGAGTGGTGTGGCATATTGCCCATCTATTCCACTTTGACTGACCCATCAACTTGGAATTGGTTCATTCCTTGCCATATATAATGCATTACCATTAACCTTACAAGTGTAGATAGTGACATGACAGACTTCTTCAGCCGAGCAGTTGTTCAGTGCTTAGGTGTAAATGGCAACATTTATTTTGGCATTTCCAAAATAACTTCCTCCTCTAGTAAGATAGCTGTCCAGACTCCAAACTGTATGAGATGCAAAGACCATTAAGAACAGAATTCTTACCCGTAAATGGTTGCTTGAATTATTGTTTGTAAACTCATACAACCCAGCCTTCTCTCTGGCTGTCTTGTTTCCTCAGTCTAGGCGACTTATCTGACAACAAATGGCAACTGAGAAGTTCAAGGTAACACTGAACACACACTCTACACTGTATACCTATAGTGAAAGGGGTGGCATTCCCACAAAATACAATACAGCTCCTGCTAATTTGGGAAGTGGGTTTCCACAGATGTAGAAATATATGTGTGAGTTCACAGATGACAATTCAAAGAATCATAGTTCTCTTGTAGATGCATTAAAATGTTGTTGAGGTTAAACTTTTATATGGATTTTTGGAGTTCAGATTTTCAAAGTTCACATTTTTGTTCCCTTACAGGCTCGGGTTATATATGATTTTGCTGCTGAACCTGGAAACAATGAACTGACAGTTAATGAAGGAGAAATCATTACAATTACCAATCCGGTAAGATATGTTCAGTGGAAATAGGAGTATCATGGACTAACTGACTTCCTAGGATTTTGATGAAGAAAATATTCAGTACAGTAATTTTACTGTTGAATTTGGAAACTGATCAGTATGCTGTTTACTGTTTCTATATACTTTCCCTTTTTGTCTTGGCGGTTGAAGGCAAATGATCTGCTGAAATAAATAAAAGATTCTTATTTAAAAGGAAGCCAGAGAGATATTTGGTCACTTTCTGATGAATGTCTTTTTCTAGATAAAAACTGGACCTCTGTGGGTTTATCATTCCAACTTCTTTTCTGAAATATTGCATGGAGTTGCAAATACATGCAAATACATTTCATGAGGTTAAGCTATTGGGGCTGTAATCTGGTTTACCTTTGACTGGGAACAGATTCCCTTGAATTTGATGGAACTTTGTTTTGAACAAGTGCAAATTTGTCAGTAAAAATGCAATTTCTGGAACTTCAGTTGTAATATTTTTTATCATCAGTCCTTGAAAAGCAGTTGAATTTTCTATGTATAGAATAGTTCCAGTTCTTATAATTATCAAGAAATCAACATGTAGCACATGTATCTTTTTTCTTCAAAAATATACTTTTAAAAATATACTCTTTTTCCTAGTGAGCATACTAGAACTTCAGTCCTAGCTATTCCCGGTCTCCACAGAATGAATGTGATATACTGGATGGAATGTTGGACTGAAATTAGGAAGACCTGGGTTCAGATTCCACCTAGCCATGAAATTAACCATAAGCCTGATATAGGTCACTTCTCTCAACTTAAAATATCACCAGTTATGGTTATGGATAAAGTTTTGTGCTTGGAGGAAGATAATAATGAAAATGAGATACAGAGGATACAGTACAACATGTTAAAAACTCAGTAGAATAATTGCTAAAAATAAGCAAGAATGATTCCTTAGCTTTATATTAAGCAGTAATGTCCTTGTTCTTTTATTGTTGCAGGATGTAGGTGGAGGCTGGCTGGAAGGCAAAAACAGCCACGGAGAGCGAGGACTGGTTCCAACAGACTATGTTGAAGTAAGATAACACGATAATACAATATTCATTAGCATAGTAAAATATTTTTGTTACAGACTGGCCACATTCACATAATACAATAAGTCTGTACTCTGAAAAGCCATTGCTTGTGCCATTGCTTAATTGCTCCTGCTTGATACCTTCTCCAAAACTGTGGACTTTTCTTCTGTTGTGTGTGACATGCATACTAGAAAATCTCTCTCGAATGAATTGGCCAAAGAACCTTGTTCTCATATCACTGTGAGCAATTCATACATTAAAATTTCCAATTTTTTAGCACATCCTGCTTACAACAGGGCCAATAAGGCAACTTGCCCCACTTTGTTTGTTTGTTTGTTTATATGCCACCTTTCTCCTCAAGGATCCAAGGTGGCTTGCAGTACTAAAAAAACAAAGTCAGAAGCTAAAACAATAAATTATAACATTAAAAAAGAATTAAACAGATATCTAAAATTTTATAAATAAGAGCAATATTAAAAATGCAAGTAAAATAACAGAACAAAATGCTCATTTTTAAAAATCCCCTTGGTCAGTCAAGGAAAGCCTGCCTGGAGAGAAAGGTCTTTGTTTGCGGAAAGACAGCAAGGATGAGGTTAGCTTGGCCTCCCATGGGAGGGAGTTCCAGAGACTGAGAGAAAGGCATCTCATTATGATCTTAATACCTGGGCAGACTCATATAGGGAGATACGGTCTTTTAGACATCTTGGACCCAAGCTATTTTGGCTTTATAGGCTAGAACGAGCATTTTGAATTGTGAACAGAAATGGATTGCCAGCCAGTGAAGCTGTTGTAATGGGATTATGTGATTCCTGTGACCAGCCCCTGTTAACAGTCTGGCTGTGGCATTTTGGACCTGTGGCTGGAAGTTTCAAACACTTTTCTAAGGCAGCCCCATGTAGAACATATTACAGTAATCCAGCCAAGATAAAATTAAGGCATTTGTCACTGTGATCAGATCAGACCTCTCTAGGAATGGGATGCAGCTGGCACACTAGTTTTAACTGCAAAGGCATTTCTGGCCACTGCTGAAACCTGGGCATTCAGACTCAGAGATCAAATTCAGGAGCAGCTCCAAACTGCACAGTTGCATTTTCAGAGGGAGTGTAACCCTAGCTAGCACAAGCTGTATCCCTATTCCTTGATCTGCCTTTAAATTGACCAGGACCACCTCTTGTCTGGATTAAGTTTCAATTTGTTCACCCTCACCCAGCCCATTACTTAAACCAAACAGGGATCTAAGACTGAAAACACTTCCTTGGATTTAGATGGAAAGGAGATGCAGTAGGGTGCCATCAACATACTGGTGACAGTAAACCCCACAACTTTGGAGAACCTCTCCTAGCAATTTCATATAAAATAAGATTAAAATTAATAAAATAGGCCAACTGTCTTTTGTAAGGCAGTAAATAAGTTTGGTGACGCTACCTTTCTGTATTTTTAAATATGAGGGGCCTGAAAAGGGCTAATAGCTAGGCCATACTCCATGAAAAGCTTTAAATAAGAGAAAATGGAAAGTAATAGGGCTTGTTCTGATCTGCCACACATAGTGCAGACAGATGAAATGACTGCATAAGGCTTTCCCTTTTTTTCTGCTCCCTCTCCCCATGCCTTTAAGCTTTGACATTCTTGATAGCCAAATACATGGAACAGAAAACCCTTTCTCTTAGTATTTTTTGTCAAGTACAGTAGGACTGTAATATCTGCTGGGGATTGGTTACAAGCCCCCTGCGGTTACTGAAACTGGATAATAGCAAATGCTATATATATAGCATGGTAAAAGGAAAAAACGCAGAAAAAATATTTTCACATGCATTGCCAGAATTGGCCACTATGTATTCTTCACTAACAGGTATACATAGCATCATCTCTGGCCCTCTCTAGAGGCCAGTTCTGGCAAAACATGTGAAAATACTGTAGTTTTTTTCTGGATTTTTTTCTCTCCTAAGCACAAAGGACACTGTGAGTCGTAGTCTTGCTGCCCATTAGGCTTTATAAAGGGTGCCTCCTAAAAAACTACCACTTCCAGGAAGCATCAAATTTCTGGGCACTTACATCTCAGAGGACCTCTCATGGGATATAAATGCCAACATGCTAGTGAAGAAGGCACAAAAGAGGCTGTATTTCCTGAGAATGCTCAGCAAGTTAAATTTATCTCAGCATTTATCTCTGTTATACTATCGTAGCACCATTGAGAGTGTCCTAACCTATGGCATTCTGGCATGGTTTGGGAGTAGCTCTGTAGCGGACAAAAAAGCTCTACAGAGAACCATTAAAATTGCCCAGAATATCATCGGGCTCCAGCTACCAACCCTGGATGACATCTTCACATCCCGCTGTCTGAGGAAGTCACACAGCATCCTGAGAGACTCTTCCCATCCTGCTTATAACTTTTTTGAACTGTTACCATCTGGCAGAAGATATAGAACAATTAAGACTCGGACCACACGTTTTCTAAATAGTTTTTATCCTAGAGCTATAATTGCAATTAATAATGAGCTTAAAGACCACCAGTAGTGAATAATTAGTTGGACTGTGTTACTTGGCCTGAGGTGTAGATGTTTGTATTTTTAGTGGGGGACTTCTAGTGGGTGGGGAGTGTTTGGGGAATGTTATGTGTGTGCATGTGTCTGGTCTCTGGGTGTCTGTGAATTTCGTTGTATGGTATACTGTGTATATACTTACAATGACAATCAATCTAAATAAAAAACATAGTAGCTTCCTTCTGGGATGCGGGGAGCACAGCTGTGTGAGATATAGTAACTCAAAAGCCATTTGGAGGGTTTGAAAGCAAAATCTAAAGGTCTACAGATTTGTGTCTGTGAGCTGCAACTCCCAGAATTCTGTCTGGGAAGTTCTGGGAGAATTTTGAGCTTTGCAATCTAAAAATATGAAAGAGCACATCCCAAATGATATTTGGTTATATTTAAATATATATTGTATTTTTTCTGACTTCAGTTCAAAGGTTATTCTTTAATATAAAATTATATGTTTTATCAAGAAATGCCTTTCAGCAGTGTTCTGTTTTTTTCAGATGTTACATGAAAGTGCCAAAGATGGAACTTCAGTAGCTGACCAAGCGTTCTTTGACCATCTTTCATCAAACACTGCACAGAGTAATTCACAAGCTGCAAAAAATAATAGTCAAGTAGGTGTATATCTTGGTTTCCCCTTTGAGCATGCTTTATTTCCTTAAACACCAGAAGCATGACAAGTTATAAAGAGTGAAACAAAACCTCATTGAAGTCTCTTGTAGTGAATTATAAAAATATTTGTTGAAAATGTGGTTCGTTGTTTGCCCCAGTGGTCTATAAAGTCTAACCTGAGGATTTATTTCAATCACAGCAGATAAACAAAGAATAAGATTCATAAAATGAAGACACAATGCCTGTGAAATCAGAGGACATAAGGATATTTCAGACAAATACAGTGCTGTGACTTAATGAAGAGTGTATTGTAGAACAAAATGAATTAAATAGACAGAGTTAGTGTACAACATTATCCACTATTCAAGGGAGCAAGTTCCTAAAAACTCAGGGAATAGGGAGGAAAATAGATCAGTGAAAATTAGAAGAAAAATGTAAAGTGAAATTTTTAAGTTTTAGCCTTATTGGGGTGGGAGGGTGGTGGTGGGGGAAGAGGGGGATAAAAATAAGAGAAAGAGGAAGTAAGGAAATTTTAAGGAAGCTGAGTTTACTCAAAATATTTCATAAACCATAGGATAAGTGATGATTGACTAGCCAGCTGGAACAATCTCCCTCCTGAGATTCGTGCGGCTCCCACTCTGGGCACCTTTAAAAGTCAATTAAAAATATGGCCTTCCCTCCAGCCAATACCTGATCTTTCTGTTTATTCTCTCTATTTATTTTCTACTTTATTTTTGTATTGTGTATGTTATAGTATGGTTTTTGTAATTTTTGTATTTTATTGGTTATATTATACTGGAAGCCGCCTATTTTAGGCCAGATGGGCGGGGTATAAATCAAATAAATAAATAAATAAACACACACACACACACA